GGCAAGATAGGAGCCTTGAGAGCACGCGATCGAAGTCCTTCCCAGTCGAATCCCATAAACCAGCGATGCTTCCTGATATCATTCACCCCTCCAGATCCTGAACCTAGTCGTTCTCCCGGATTATCCCTACACAATTTCTTCACCAACGCTGTAGCGGTTTTACCAATCCGTCTAGAAACAGAATAAATGGGTGGAAAAATTCGCACTCAACACGCTTAAATTCCAACCGATTTGGTATCTCCAAAGCATCAACGCCTTTCAGAATGAGCGTATACGTCTTCATTGGATCACTTGCTTGGAAAGGCGGTCGGCCAAGCATCAACTCGCATATGTAAATACCTGCAATCCATCATTAAACAAATTTGGGTCGTTTTTCAAATATCAAAGCAAATCCGCAGAAACTGTTTTTGCGTGCATAATAAATCCTCATGCTGTTGTTCCAGCTTTTGAAGATAATTTTGTTCTATATTGTAAACCAATGACATGCACTAAATTTTTTCTGTTTTGTGGGAATACATCACTATAACGTGACCACTCATTTGAGAAAAGCAGAGGGACGATAAATTTACAGAAACTTGCCCAATGCCCAGTAATCCGCTGCCTGATCGTGACCTTTGTTCAAAATGATTTCAGGCGAGACATATCTAAAATAACATAGAAACAGCTTCCCATTACTCCAAACAAGAAAAAACGTACTCTGGTGTTCCGCAAAAAGTCCATGTTTTTCTTCCTGAAGCTAGCTTCTTGGCAAAACCGAAGTCGACCTGATCAATACATTTACAAGCAATGTAACATCAACATAATAACAACCATCTAGCACAGAAAAACTCGTGTCGAGTTTTCAAAAAAGCTTACTAGTTTAAGATATCCCGTGTTGGTGAGTAGGCAATTTTCCGGCTTGAGATCACGATAAACAATATGCTTTCTATGGAGATACTCCAGTCCCTCTAGCACACATGCAACGTAAAAACGGGCAGTATAATCATCGAAGTGACCTCTGTCCCTGAGTGTTGTCCAAAGTTCCCCGCCCAAACATACCTCCAATAGCATATACACGTATTTTGTATCACGATACGTCTTGAAGAGCCTTAACAAAAAGTAAATTTTGTGAAAAGCATCAGAAGCTTCTCAGTAACTGACTTGACGATCCATTCAGAATTCGTCTCCATCATGATGTTTCTCTCAGCAAAAATGTGTTCCTGTTGTCGTGTATCCACTATATGTTTTTTCTTCAAAGCTTTCAAAGCAAACGTCCGTGATTTGTCACCATTAATGCATACCTAAACTTTAATTTTTTTCCCCTTTCCACTATGATATCACAATCTCCCGCTTCCAGAGGCCCGATAAGTATTTATATTTTAGTTTTCCACTTTTCCAAGACATTCTCTGTCCCTCTCTCAAGTTAACCTGGAAAACATCCGGCGTTCAAATCAGTTAGAAAATACAGAGATTCCCGCAAGACATCATAAAACTAGGAAAAATCATTGCAAAAAAAAA